TCGCACAATAACAGTGATACAACACACAGTGAAATGCAACAGTGCAGTCATACCATCCTTCTATTATTTGGAATTTTTTTTATTGCCTACATTTGTAGAATAATCATATTTTCAGATACTTATACAGCGTCACATTTCATTTTAACTAGCATTCTGTTTACTATTTGGCTCTAGAATGCTATTCTGGTGTGTGATTTTTGCATTATTAGTTATGATTTTACAAAAACTTGATATACAATTCATATAAAACTTGCCCTTTAAAATTACAGTTTTGTGGGGGTAGAGAGATGCCTCAGCGGTTAACAGCACTTGCTCTTGCAGAGGACCTGGGTTTGGTTCCCAGCACCCATGTTGAGGCTCACAACCATCCAGATTCCAGGGACTCTGATGCCCTCTTCTGACCTCCATGGGTACCAGACACATACAGGGTGCACATGTGTGCTCGCAGGGAAACAACACATTTTTAGAAATTACAATTCTGTGCTGTTTAGTGTAGTCACAGAATTGTACAACTGTCACTGTTATCTAATTTCAGAACATTTTCACTGCCCCAAAAGAAATCCTCAGCAATCTCTCCCTATCCCGTTTTTTAGCCCCGGAAGCTGCTAGGTGATTTTCTGGCTCTGCAGTTGCTTGTCCTGAACATTTTAGATGAGCATAACCACACAAAATGGTGGTTTTTGTTTTCAGTGTTGTTTGTTTTGGTTTTTCGAAATATGGTTTCTCTGTATAGCTTTGGTGCCTGTCCTGGATCTCGCTCTGTAGACCAGGCTGGCCTCAGACTCACAGAGATCCGCCTGGCTCTGACTCCAGAGTGCTGGGATTAAAGGCGTGCGCCCCCCCCTCCTGACTTTGTGTTTAGTTTTTAACCGACCTCTTTCTTTTATCATAAGTGTTGTTTTTAGATTTATTATTAATTATGGTGTATATGAATCTCTGTGTGTGTGCATGTGAGTGTGGGTATCCACAGAGGTCAGAAAAAGCCATCAGATTCCCTGGAGCTGGAGTGACAGGCAGTTGTGAATCACCCAACATAGGAGCTGGGAACCCAACTCAGGTCTTCTGCAAAAAAAGCAAGTTCTCAGGACTGGAGAGATGATTCAGCTGTTAAGAGCACTAGCTGCTTTTCCAAAGGACCTGGGTTCAATTCCCAGCACCCAAATGGTGGCTAGCAATATCTGTAACTCCAGTTCCAGGGTATCTGATGCCCTCGTCTAGGACCCCAGGCACCAGGCATGCACATGGTGCAGACATACACTCAGACAAAACACCCATGCACCAGAATGAAAAATATTAATAATAAGAGAAAAGCAAGCTCTCTTAACTGCTGAGGCATCTTTACAGCCCAGCATGGTATCTATAAGACACCAGGGACTTCGTTCTTTGTTATATTAAAATGTCACTCTATAGGTTTATTCACTCATCAATTCACAAACTTTGAGGTTGTTTCCAGCTATTGTGAGCCATGCTGCCCAAACAGAAGTTTCAAGTGCACACGCTTTCATTTCCTTGGGGTACGTATCTGTGAGTGTAATTGCTAGTCAGATGGTAACTCTGGTTCACATTTTTAAGAACTAAACCCCAGTTTTCTAAAATGGAACTATTTTATCGAATCATCAGTCATGGAGAGTTGCAGTTTTTTTCACCAACTTAACAGTCGAAAAGTGACATCTCAGTATAAGTGTCTGTGTGGTGGTGGTGTGCGGGCCCAGGGAGTTGTAATGGTTTTACTGAGTTATAGTTCACTAATGTACAGTTCACCCTGTAACAGTCACAGTTCAATTTTTGTTTGGTTGTTATTTTTTTTCTACATTCACAAGTCATAGCAGCAATCACTACAATCCGCCTTTCAGCATTAACACTGCTAGTCTCAAGCTGGTTTTCATTTGTTTCTCTTTAGTGGGTAATAATACGGAACATCTTTTCATGGGCTTATTGGACATTTGTATATTATTTTTCTTTAGAGGAAAATATTTGTTAAAATATTGTGCCTTTTTTTAACTGGGCATTTAAATTGAGTCATAAGGATCTTTATATATTCAAATTATAAGTCCCTTATCATATATGATGTACAAATATTTCCCATCAGTTTGTAGGTTGCTTTTTAATTTCGTTCTAGTGTTCTTTATGGAATAGACATTTTTAATTTTAAAGAAGTCTAAGCTGAGTAGAGGAGGGTGGTGTATGCCTGTAGTCTTTGTTAGGGAAACGGAGACACTTGAAGGCTAGGACGTTAAGCTGTCCGTCAGAAGACTTAGGGTCTCCTTTGTAGCTCTGGCTGTTCTGGAATTAACTTTTAGTCCAGGCTGACCTCAAACTCACAGAGATCCGCCTGCCTCTGCCTCCTGAGTGCTGGGATTAATGGTGTGCACCACCGCCGCCAGCTGACTTTTTTAAAGGGGAGCGGTGCTAGAGAGCTAGCTCAGCGATTAAGACCACATACAGCTTCCAGAGGACCCACGTTCTCCTCCGGTACCTTGTCAGGTGGTTCATAACCACCTATAACTCCAGTTCCCAGGGCTCTGCTGCCCTCTGTTTTTTGCAAATACCTGCATTCATGCACCACCCCCACACAAATGTACATATAATTTAAAATATAAAATACAAACAGAGGGCTGGCAAGGTATCTCAGTGGGTTAAGGCGACTGTGAACCTGACAAGCCGAGTCGAATTGCTAGGATCCCCACGGTGGGAGAAAAAGGACTAGGACTTCTGCACTTGTCTCCGGCCTTCACACGTGGGTGGCAGCGTGAGAGTTCATCCTTAGACACACACATAAATGTTTTAAAAGGTTAGCTGCTGTTTTGCTTTCATGGATTGTATGTGTGTGGTGTGTGCTGTCGCAGCACTCTGGTTGTGAGCACAAGGCCATTCCCGGATTTTTATGTGGATTCTGGGATTCCAAACTGAGGTCCTAATGCTCGCACAGCAAGCAGTCTTATCACTGAGCCCTATCCCTCCCAACCCCTATTCTGTGTTTTAGTTTCCATTTTTTTTTTTTTTTTTTTTTTTTGGTTTTTCGAGACAGGGTTTCTCTGTGTAGCTTTGCGCCTTTCCTGGAACTCATTTGGTAGTCCAGGCTGGCCTTGAATTTACAGAGATCTGCCTGCCTCTGCCTCCCGAGTGCTGGGATTAAAGGCGTGCGCCACCACCGCCCGGCTTTAGTTTCCATTTTGAGACAAGGTTCCATGTAGTCCAGACTGACTTGTTATGTAGCTGAAGATGACCTTGAACTCCTGATCCCTCTACTTCCACTTCTCAAGGCTGTGGTTACAGACATGTGAGACTATGCCTGGCTCTTTTTTGTTACTTGTGTTTTCTGATGACATATCTAAGACATTATTCCCTTGTTCACCGTCACAAAGATTTATTCCTATGTTTTCTTCTGAGAGTTTTATGATTTTAGAACCGTGATCCATTTAGCTGTATACAGCATGAGATGGTTCACATTCATTATTTTGCAAGTTACCCATCCAATTGACCCAGCACCATTTGTTTAAAAGACAATTATTTCCCCCTGGTAGTTTTAACACCCTTGTTGGAAATCAGTTGACAAGAACTGGGAAGGCTTTCTGGACACCCGGTTCCATTCCATTAATATCTACCCCTAGGCGATTGCTACTCTCTCCTCCAGAATTTAATGTATCCCATGCTGACCTCAAACTCACCATGTAGCCGAGGGTGACCTTAAACTTCTGTTTCTCTGGCCTCTACCTCCTGAGTGATGGAATTAGATATGTGCACCACCATGGCCAGTTTATGGAGTACTGGGGAATTGAACTCTTAGCTGCCTACCGCTTTTTGATAGGGTTGACAGGTTTTTACATTTTCCAGAGAGTTTTGGCTATTCTGAGTCTTGCATCTCTCTATAAATGTTAGAAGCAACTCACTAATTTCTGAAAGAAAAAAAAAAGAGTAAGAAGATGAAAATGGAGCCGCCGCCGCCGCCGCCGCCGCCGCCGCTGCTGGCATCTCGATAGACATCGCACTGGATATGTAGAAGTTTGGAGTTGTGCCATCTTGTCTTTTTTAAATAATTATTTTTTATTTTCTGTGCATTGGTGTTTTGCCTGCACGTATGTCTGTGTGAGGGTGTCAGATCCCCTGGAAGTGGAGTTGCAGACAGCTGTGAGCTGCCATGTGGGTGCTTGGAATTGAACCCAGGTCCTCTGGAAGAACAGTCAGTGCTCTTAACTGAAGAGCCATCTCTCCAGCCCCCAGAGCTGTGCCATCTTAACACTCTCTAGTCATCTGGTCATGAGCATGGGAAACCTTTCTGTTTATCTAGGTCCCAATTTCTTCTTTTTTTTTTTTTTTTTTTAAGATTTATTTATTTATTTATTATGTATACAGTATTCTGCCTACACACCAGAAGAGGGCACCAGAACAAATTACAGATGGTTGTGAGCCACCATGTGGTTGCTGGGAATTGAACTCAGGACCTCGGGAAGAGCTGCCAGTGCTCTTAACCTCTGAGCCATCTTTCCAGCCCTAGGTCCCAATTTCTTTCAGTGAGAAAGCTTCTTCTCATAGCTTTTCAATGTAAACATCTTGTACTTCTTTTGTTAAACTTATTCCTAAACATCTTACTCTTTCTGATGCCATTATAAATGGCTTGTTTTCTTTATTTTCTCATCATACATACGTGTCAAGAGCACAGAAATACATTGAAGCCAAGTGTGGAAGCATAGGCCCATAATCTCAGCATTTTAGAAGCTAAAGCAGGAGGATTGATAGTTCAAGGCTAGCCTGGGCTACACAACCAGAGCATGTCTCAAAAAACATTAAAAAGTACAACTCACATTCCTCTTGTTTTGTGCAGCCTTGCTGAACTTATTCTAGATTTTTGGTGGATACCTTGGGCTTGTCTATTTAGAGATCAGGTCATGTCATCTACAAAAAAAGGTAGTTGTACTTTTTTCTTTTTTAGATGACTTTTATTAATTTCTTTTTCCTCATTTAATTACCCTGACTGATGGGTGTGCCACCACATCCTGCTTTAAAATATGGAGCGCTTCATGAATGTGCATGTCATTCTTGCACAGAGGCCATGCTAATTTCTGTATTGTTCCAATTTCAGTATCTGTGCTGCCAAAGGGAACACTTGTTCCTTATACTAGGAAAAAGATTTCAGTCTTTCACCATTAAGTACCATAGTAATATAGTTACGATGTTGTAATAAACCACTATCTAGGGATGGATTCTTTTAAGTGTTTGTTGTTCAATTTTATGGCACGCGTGCACTGTGTTCAGTGAACATGCAAAGTTTATTCTCACTTAGCCAAGGTTATTAGTCACAAGGAGCAGAAACTGACCCTAGTTTATTTGTGCACAAAAAGAATTTACAAAAAGAGATACTGTTAATGAAGATGGAGTAGCAGGCTCTGAGAATGGGTAGAGCGAGAGGGCCCTTACAGCAACTAGGCAGCAGTCTAAATAACATCATAAACCGGAATCAGCCAGAGAGCTCTGCGATCTCTACTGCTTGGAAGAGAGGTGACAGTGACATCATTGGGCTATTACACAGTGACACTGGGCTATATTACACAGTGACACTGGGCTATTACACAGTGACACTGGGCTATTACACAGTGACACTGGGCTATTACACAGTGACACTGGGCTATTACACAGTGACATTGGGCTATTACACAGTGACACTGGGCTATTACACAGTGACACTGGGCTATTGTAGTGCAGAAACTGAAGTTGCCTCTGGGAATGGATGTTTCTGTCATCACGACTGCCAGTGGACACCATCATTAGTCCTTCTCTTTTTCTTCTTAATTGCTGTGAATTCGAAGTTGGAAGGGCTGAGGGTGTAGCTCAGTGGGCGAATGCTTGTCTGGGTTCCAATCCAGCACCGCCAAACACAACAACAGAACAACAGACCGCTGTTCTGGAATGACAAGCACACATGCTGGCCTCCCTGTCGGCCGAACTCAGTGAGACCTTTCATGACTGTTGTATGGGAATGAAGGTTGGAATTTAGTAATGGACTTTGGGTGCATTTGGTGCTTGTAACTAAGAATATCCTTGTCAGCTATGATGGCAGTTAAAACCTATTTTTAAAAGTGAACTGAAATTAGAAGTGTGCATCTGAATTACCGCCTCACAAGTTGGTAAGCCGATATGTTTTGAAAATAGCGGGTGTTTCTCAATTATAGGAAGAACAAACAGTTTTGACCTCTAAAAACTCAAAAATGTAAATTAAAAACCAGGCTGGGGATATAGATCAGTGGTAGAATGCTAGCTTAGAATATTAGAGGCCTTGGGTTTACTCCTCAGTACCGGGCAGGGGGGATGTTCACTTTCTATTTCCTTTTAATTTCATATTAATATATACTTCTATTTTGTAATTATGTACATTTAGTTATCCAGGTACATGATTTAGAAATATATATTATTTTAAATATACACATAATACTAGAGATTTATGCTCAATCATTTTTATGGATACAGTGTGCTTCCCGGAGGGTTTGGCGACCCCTGCCTCAGAACAGCTCTGAGTCCATGTATGAGAGAAGCCAGAAGTCAGAACGAAGAGAACAAGGAGGTAAGGAACAGTCACTGTCTCAGCAAAGCAGTGTTCCAGGTCCACGGTCAGAGGCGGCTGAGGTCGGGCGGTGGCTGAGAAGGAACAAGGCCTGGGGATGCGGTGGAGCGCAGACAACCAGCAGCACAGAGAGCTACGGAACGGTGAAGGATTGTCGCCTGGACGGAGAAGAGGAGAAAGTATCAGGGAAAAAAGCAACGGATTCTTCTTTAACTCTGCTGAACCAAAGTGCCTCTCGGGACATCCAGTGAAAGGGCCTGCGGTGTAGTTGAGAAAGAGAAACTGAGGGACAGCTGGCAAAATGGCTTTTTAAAGAAATTTCCAAATCCATGTTTTACAGTTCTACAGTACGATCCTGTAAAGATGCTGTTGTGAACTATTGCTTTACCTAGGCAAAGAAGTGTTACCTCTGTTCATGCTGCAGGATATTACTCCAACGGTGTAAAAGTGCGTTACATTTGCTTATGCTGCATTGGTTTAACCATGTAAGGATGTGTTGAATTTGTTTTGCCTTGCCTGCCTAAGGCACCTGATGGGTCTAATAAAAAGCTGAATGGCCAATAGCTAGGCAGAAGAGGGATGGGTGGGGCTGGCGGGCAGAGAGAATAAGTAGGAGGAGGAATCTAGGCAAAGGAAGAAGCTGAAAAGAGGAGAACAAGGAGAAAGAGGGGGACACACCCAGGGCCAGAAACCAGTCAGACAGACTCACATGGAGACAGCGGGAAAGTAAGAGATATATCTATATCTATCTCTCTCTCTCTCTCTCTATATATATATATATATATATATAGAGAGAGAGAGAGAGAGAGAGATATCTTTATATATATATATAAAGGCAAAAAGCTCTGAGGTAAAATGTAGGTAAAGAGAAACAGATTAAATAAGAGCTAAAATAAGGCTGAGCATTCATAACTAGTAAGTCTCCATGTCATGATTTGGGAGCTGTTTGGTGGCCTAAAAGAAAAAGCCTGGTACAAGATGCTATCATAGGAAACAACAAATTTGACTTCTTAAAACATGGGCACTCCTCTGGGCATGGTGGCACATGCCTTTAATCCCAGCACCTGGGAGGCAGAGGCAGGCAGATCTCTGAGTTTAAAGCTTGCCTGGTCTACAGAGTAAGTTCTAGGATAGCCAGGGCTACACAGAGAAACCCTGTCTCAAAACAAACAAATAAAAAAATTTATTATAATGATTGTTTATTATAATTATTGGAAAATAAATGGGCTCCTGTGCCATTGCTACTCGGTTGAGGGTCCCATGATGCTCCACCCCACTGCCTCCTATGAGGGAAGGTAAATAGTCAATAGGCCCACTGAAAGGTCAGCATCATGCTATCTCTATATAGCAAAACCTCTGCACAGAGGTTTATAGGCAGAACAATGATGCAAAGCCCCAAGCCACTGTTCCTTGGGGAAGTACTCTGAAAGTCCATTGCCAGTCGCTCCAAGCAGGTGTCAAGTGACCACAGATGTTTAAAACTAAAAAGATAATGAAGTCAAACCTCAGTAAGGTCTAATAAAGCACAGAAAGATTCCATCCCTTTATATCCATTGATTCCTCCACGGATCAATGTTGGATACAGTTGCATGGAACACAAGCACTAACTTAGTCAGCTCTCCACAATCTTCCATCATGCTCTCCAAGCCACCCATTTCTGTGTCCTGGAACTCTTCCATGGGACCTTCCTGCATTTCTCTTGCTCTGATGTATTCCATGAGGCTGGCTCAATGTGCTCGGCCCCTCCAAGGGTCAAGGAAGAGGTAGGCCCCACTGTCCCCCGTGGTACCTACTGGTTTCCTGTGTCCAAGGGCTCCTGGGTTGGCATTGTGATTACACTCACAGCTGTTGACTCTCCATCCACACCTGGATGCTAAGGGAGACCCTGATTGGGCAAACCATCTCCAGCTCTAGCATCACCTTGTACAGGAAGGAAATGTTTCATAAAGATCCTGCCCCACTAAGGTGTTCAGCACTGCCACCAATGCTCCATACCAGTCTCAGGTCCTTGCTGAATCAGTTTCTTTCTTAGGTTTCCCATAAACACATTCTGTGGGCATCAGATAACAATTCCTGCTTCCCCAGTTCCCTCCGTAGTGCCTGCCTGGCTATTGCTTTCTAGTTCCTGATATTCACGGGCATTTCAGCTGGAGATAACCTTATGTCCCCAATGGCTCACATGAGCTGACATCAGAGTTTACCTAGTATTGCCTTAGATTGTGAAGCCTTTGTCTCAAGGAAGGATGTGTGATCATATTGCTCAGCTTCTATGCCTCTGCAGCACCAAACAGGTCACGTGTGCCTCCATGTCCCACAGCCTCGAAAGCCAGGTTACAAGGGGCTCCTTCGTTGCTTGTTTCAAAGTCTTCCTTAGCTCCAACAGCTCTGATGCCAGATATTCTGGTTACCATGGTCTGCACCAGTGTGGGAGTTTGTGGAAGACCAGCTCTGACCTACTCCCACCTTTCAAAGGGTTCTTGGGTGGAGGAGAGAGAAATGAGGAAATATTAGGTAGAAAGTTAGAAAGAGACAATAAGAAAGAGATACAGGATAGCTTCAGGAGGTCCCTAGGTCAATATTCAGCCACCCAGAGGTTTATTCAAAAGGGCTTTTTATAACATGCCAAGGAGAGAGGCAAAAGACCTCCCCCTTGCAAGATCAAAGCACACCCATACAGCCAAGTGTAGACCCTTCCAAACACTGGTAAACACACCCCTGGCCAAATAATCTCATTATTCAGCCCTGCTGGGTAAAACAAGCTCAGATTCTCTGACCCTGAGTAATTTGGGCCCCCACACACCAGACTATTGTTAAGACCTCCATTGGTGTGCTGGACCACAGATTTTCCCTTTCTCTGCATTAAAGGTCAGACCTGAGGTGCATCTTCTGTCACTTATGGGTCACTCTCCCTTCCTCATTGCTGTCTGACTTGTCCCAAGGAGTCCACGTTTTGTGGTCCCAGAAGGGACTCTATATTATTGGTCTTATCTGGGCCCCTTCCCGTATTGGCCCCCTAGCGCCATGAAAAATGGCGGGCCAGCATCTCCATTTCTCTTTATCTTTTATCCAATTGCCTGTTAAGTCTGCGGCCAATACTGAAGCCAGCACTTACATCCCTTTCTCACTGTAGTTCATCTGTTACACCTGCAGTCTCCCTCTGGGTAGTCACCTCTGCCTGGGATAGACCTCTTGCTGTCCAGAGCAGCAGCCAGGCTGCCTCTGCAGCTCTTGCTGATACCTCCATCTTTGATGAGCCACTCCCAGGGCCTGTCACACCTGCTCTAGACCTTTAGCTGTTCTCAAAGTTTTCTCCATACTCCCAGTGTGGACCCTATCCAGCAAGCATGCCACCCCATATCACCCAGACTACCACCCACACCCCACACCCTCACCCCCCGCCGCCCAGTTGCCCTTATATTAGTTACATGTCTCACTATCCCCTGTACTTTTTATGCCTCTGCCACTACCCCCACAAGCCCTATAGAGACAGACCACCATGTCAACATTTTCTCAAAATTATCTCCGGCCCCTTTATCAATGTCACTTCA